GTCGACGGCCAAACCGAATATTCACGGCTCCAAGGTCATGCTCTGTATTTGGTGGGACCAGCTCGGCGTAGTGTATTATGAGCTATTAAAACCGACTGAAACAATCACAGGCGATCGGTATTGAACACAATTGATGCGTTTGAGCCAAGCTTTGAAAGACAAACGACGCAATATAACGTGAGACACGATAAAGTGATTTTGCAGCATGACAAGCTCAACTCCATGTTGCGAAAGTGGTCAAGACATACTTGGAAACGTTGAAATGGGAAGTTCTACCCCACCCGCCATATTCTGCAGACGTTGCTTCTTCCGACTATCACTTGTTTCGATCAATGGCACACGGCCTGGCTGACCAGCACTTCCGGTCTTATGAAGAAGTAAAAAATTGGACCGATTCGTGGATCACCTCAAAAGATGACTAGTTTTTTCGACGCGGGATTCGTACGCTTCCCAAAAGATGGAAGAAAGTAGTGGCGATGGACAATACTTTGAATCATAAATGTATAACCAGTTTTTTACAATAAAGCCTCGAATTTCGGAAAAAAAAAGGGCGGAAGCAAAGTAGTACACCTAATATATTGCCTTTTTTTCTCTTGCTTTTAATATTAAAAAGGAGATTATCAGAGAAAGGCTTATTGATATTTATTATAACTTGTATATATAGAGTTAGATTTGATTTTTCTAATATTTATATATTGATATAAAATATTATTTTTAAAGGGGCCGGTTATCGTATTGTAGGATACTCCAGTGATATCGGGCTCATTTTTGTACACAAGTTACACCATAATCCAATATTAAATTATCTATTATGTCAATTTCTGTAACCGCGTAGCTTCGGAGTTATGTCGTCAAGCTCAAAACTCAAAAAGAATTTTTGGCTTCGAAACGAGAAGAGCTATGGCTTTGAGAAAAGTAAATTACGTTAAAGAAAATAAAATACCATAAGAAGATTCAAGCAAGTATGATTTCATTTGATACGGACACTTATAGGATGTCCAAAAGAAACTTTTCAATTTTTGAAACGCGATTCTTTCTACTTTCTGTAGAGTCACTATCATATTTCATATGCAACATCACTATATACTCATGTATAACATTTATTTTAACAAAGATAATGTTGATTGTACAACATAGTTAAAAACGCAAAAAATTAAACAATTTATTTTTAAAAGAAGCGAATATTATTTTGGGAAACTTACATTTTTGATGTATCGTAAAACTGTTTCTAAATAATACTTCTCATATTCTCGATATTATGTCCGCGCTGTCTATGACCAAAATCCGATCTTCGGTAAAAAACGATTATTAACAGAAAGATATTTTGGTACAGTTGTTCAAATAACATTGGTTTTATTGCATATGCATTAATTGATCTTGGGAATCAGTACGCAATAAACGAATGTCACAAGAATTCCTGTTTTTCAAAATCTAAGCTATCTCAAACGAGAAATTAAAAAAAAATTGTACCGATCAAGTTGAAAGGAATAAATATAATAAAAAATTTTACCTAACTGATTTAAATAAAATTGCAGTTGGCAACCATGATCAAAAAAGAGGACAAAGCTCAATTATCGTCACTGTATGGATTTATCGTCGAAGCAATCTGGTCTTCATCAAAAATAGAAAAGTAGTAGGTCTCAAAATTTTTGACTGATATCTTGCAAACGTTAGATTTAATATGTCACATGTGAACAGGATTCGATTGCTCTTAGCCCATTTGCGTATTTGCAAATATAACGTTATCTAAATATTTTTCCATCAAATACCACAGGACGAATCAATCTAATGACACAGCAACCTATTGAAAGAAAGGAAGAAAAAAGTTAAATTATGATAAAATATTGTACGTAATGTTTTATACTATAAAGCACAATATGCATTAAAAACAATATTTTATACTAATAGAGGTATGTCAAATCCATTGGTAAAATAATATCATAAGAAGGTTGATGAGACAAATTTTTGTTTAAACATTTCTCTGTTTTTTAGAAAAAGTATATTTACAGAACAGAAATATATTTACGGAACAGAATATCAGAACAATTCTCAGTTACAATATCTGATGGTATGTTAAAAATGAAAATATGGGTACATTAAATATATAAAATAAAAATTGGTATTAAAATTATTTAACCAAGTAAGTAAATTTTAGAAGAAGAAAGTCAGTACTTTTCGATAAAATTTTCAAGTATAGCATTCCCTTCAATACTACGACTTGTGTCTGCATTGTGCGAGTGCTTGTATACTGCAAACGGAAGATCAAAATGTAAAATTAAACGGAATTTTAAAATATAATTGATAACTGAATTTCTCAAAACTTAATTTAAATATTCATATAAAATAGAATTATTACTTTGATAACATTAATTAATTAATTAATATATATGCACCACCTTATTTATATAAGTAAATAGTATATATTTTTACGTAAGTATATTTAATATCAACTATTTATTATTAATTTATTATATATATGTGTCGTACGGATGATAGCTGAATAATTGCCGCACAGTTTATAGTTCATAATATTCGCAATGTACACATGTACACATTGTATGTGCTAATGGCTATTCAAATCACGTTATTTCGCCAGTTATAATATACATTGTCAACAAATCACAGAATATTCAAGAACATATTCAAATCTATTAGTAGTGTCCTTCGGGCTATCATCAACTGAACATCTAAACTGAATTCGTGTACAGAATTGTCGTGTACAGAATTATTATATTCGCTCAAATATCCAGCATTATTTCTAAGTGAATATAACAATTAAAGTATTTGATAACTGTCAATTACATTAATAAATTATGTTTGTAAGACAACGCTTGTACATATTCGATAAATTATACACAGAAGATAATTATAATGAGTTTTTCAATCCGAATATTTGTCATGTCTGCAAGAAGCCGAATCCAGGCGAATTAATTCCATGTGGTTCGTGCGACATGGTTTTTTATTGTTCCACGGAGCATCAAATAATGCATCAAAGCTCGCATATGGAAGTCTGTGCAGTTATTCCATTTGCAAGAACAGAAAACTTGGAATCGAACGCTCGTCCTTTTAACTCAGATGATGAATGGAGGTCATCTCGAAAGACATTTATGCAAGGAATTCAGGTGAAAATGACACGTGATCTAATGCCGTACGAGAAAGAGATGATAATGTGCGCCAAATCATGTCTTATTTGTCACCAACAGATGGGACTGCTAACTTGCAGGACCTGCTATTCCGCCAATTATTGTGACGAGCACCAATGGGATTTTAAAGAAAAACACGATTTCATGTGCTTGAATTTATTGGTACATTTGAATTTGAATATCTTACGTATAAATAACCTTATAAAATCGTATTCACATAATGTACAATTTTCCAAAATGAAAGAAGGTTTTGATAACATGACTGCATTTGGTAATCGATACATTGTTGACCAACATCAACTGTCGAAAGATTGGAATGCGGATTGTTACGTAACGTCGAATTATATATCAGCTCCACTGACACTATACTACGGGTTAAAGGAATTCGCAAATTTATTTGAAGAAACACAGATTTATAGAGATGAATATAATTTTAATCGACGCCTCAGACGCAGTTATTTCTTTATCGTACATATCATAGATGCGAGTTCAGCAGATGTAGCGGGCTTACCATCATGGGAGATTTTCTTACATATTTGCCATGAATTTACTTTGGATAAGAAAATTATGGAATTAAGAGTTATACTAGTTCAACCAGAAACGGATTGTGACAGGAATGAATATTACAATGTTTGCGGCAGATGCGTCGCAGCAAACAGGAAACTATACCTTGGGAATGCACGTGTGTCATATGACGATTATATTCGCACACAATTGTATAAAGAAGCAAATATCATAATTGCATTTCAAGCAGAATTTAATGCGGGGAGTGCACCGTTTAAAATTTTCCGCGCAACACAAGATCGTAAATGTCCGTTTTTTTTCACCACTGCGTCACAAAATGAAGCAGAAGAGGGCATAATGAAGTTAGAAGAAGTAATGACTGTTCCTAGAGAACATCGTTCTGTAAAAAATAAATTTTGTAGTTATAGACCTTTCAGAAACTACGGGACTGGTGAAATTTATTATCGTAATGCTTATTTAGTTGTGTTCTCATGAACTTAAATAATACAAGCGAGACAACAAGACATTTAGTTAATATATAACAACGTCCGGAATTTTTTTCAGTTTGGGAACGGTTTCGAGGTTACATTTACTTACTATACTTCCCTTTTCCACTCTAACTAGTTCGCAGGGTTATAG